GCTTGGTGTGCTTCGTGTGTGACGGAGCAGCAAACTGGAGACAGGGAACTTGGGACAGGGAACGGGGACAGGGAACGGAGGGCAGGGAACTGGGGCAGGGAACTGGGGGCAGGGAACTGGGGCAGCAAACTGGGGACAGGGAACTTGGGACAGGGAACTGGGGAGGGAACTGGAGGAGGGAACTGGAGCAGGGAACTGGGGACAGGGAACTGGGGGCAGCAAACTGGGGAGAGGGAACTTGGGACAGGAAACTGGGGACAGGGAACTGGGGGCAGGGAACGGGGGGGGGGGGGGGGGGGGGGGGGGGACGGGGGGCAGCAAACTGGGGACAGGGAGCTTGGGATAGGGAAGTGGGGACAGGGAACTGGGGGCAGGGGACTGGGACAGGGAACTGGCGGGCAGGGAACTGGGGACAGGGAACTGGGGGGAGGGAACTGGAACTGGCGACAGAGAACTAGGGCAGGGAACTGGGCTGATCTTTAACTATTGTATGTAGAACCTCAAGTCGCCGATCAAGGCCTACAGGTGGATCTCAGACGAGGCTGATCTCCAACTATGTAGAACCTCTATGCACCGTCTTTTGTTTTCAAGGAACTCCAACCTCCTCCATCAGAGTTGCCCCAAAAAGTAGCTGACACACCCTTGTGTCTTGATGGTATCTATTGTTCACCCTCCGACGAGCCATTTTTGAAGCTTCATTTGCAGAAAAGAAGAAGGACTGCAGAAGCTGAATCTGGCCTCCAAAACCCTCAAATTCTCTGGGACCAATTTACTTCCCCCAGCAGTAGGTTGCCTGCAGCTAGGCTTGTTTGCAATGTCCACCACCTCCGTGCCCACGACCTTGTGCAGCCATGTGTAGCTGTGCCTTAGGCTGGCTGTTTTCCAAGGCCTGCATCGCATTGCAACTGTTGATGATGGTAGACGATCACAATTGATCTGGAGCGCTGCAAACAGTTTGCACCAGCTGATCTGTCGTGCAATCTAACCTGGCAAGGGCGGCCCTGCCCCCTGTCTGCTCCTGAAGGCCACTGTTGAATGGCCTTCAAGGACAGCAACTCAATGTCCCAGTGCATTGTGTGGCAAACTTCGCGAATTCAGGCCCGATTAGTTAGTTCAACGATCTTTCACGTTTCACATGTTTCACATTTGCACAGTGCGAAACTCTGCCCACATTGGTTGTTGGGGTTCTCTGGTGCTGGTTTTCTTTTGGGGTTTTGTTGCTTTTGGGGGTTGTTTTGTGTTGGTTTTGTTGTTTTCTCGGTTTTCTCCCCTTTCCAATATGCAGAGTTTCCAACCTTCTCATGATGCCCTGGGCACCCGCCCACATGGCGTCCGACTCGTGCAAAAAAGAAGGGGATTAAGGGGTGGCTTAAGGGGGCTTCGCTGAAGGTCGAAGGTCTTGGGGCTAAAGGGGGGCTTCGCCAAAGGCTTAAAGTCTTCGGTCGAACTGGGGCGCTGGAGGGATGGCTCAAGGGGGGGCTTGAGGGTGGGCTCAAGGAGGGTGGGTTTAAGGGGGTGGCTGAAGGGATGGTTTAAGGGGGGTCGCTGAAGGTCGACGGTCTTGGGGCTTAAGGGGGGCTTCGCCGAAGGCTTAAAGTCTTCGGTCGAAGCGGTGCTTAAGGGGTGGCTCAAGGGGGGCCTCCAGGGGGGCTTAAAGGCGGTTTTGCGGCCTAAGGGTGACTTTTGGGGGGGGCTTCGCTGAAGGAGGGGCTTCAGGGGAGATTGAGCGCGCGGTAGACCCGGTAGGTTTCAGGGGGGCCTCATCAGAGTGCTTAAGGGGTGGTTTAAGGGGAGAAATTAAGGGGGAGGAAAAGGAAATGCTTAAGGGGTGGTTAAGGGGGACTTACGGAGGGCATCCAATTTTTGGGATTGAGATGGCGCTTAAGGGATGGTTCAAGAAGGGAAAGGGATAGGTTTTAGGGGGTATTGAGCGCGGGATAAGGGGGGCTTCAAAGCTTGGGGCAGTGTTTGAATCCATGAAGAGGCATGCGATGCCGCTTGTCGCTACTTATTTTGCTCGGGGTGATTGAGACGATTGCGTTACGTAGTTGCTGGTTTTTGAACGTAGCTGTGAAATCTCAGAGCAGATTTTCGGGGGCCTTTGTGAGAAGAAGCGATTGTGATGCAGACGGATAGAAGAGATGCCCAGTGGCACGGCGCCATGCAAACGCATTTTCCACCAAGGCCGCGCAAATCCTAATAACGCTGTGACATCGCGAACGTACTTTGGCCACGCGGTCTGTCCACACACCAGAAGCAAACATATCAGTATCACATGATACCGCCAATGATCCCACTCACCAGCGACACGCCGCGTTCACGCCAGCATGTTTCGCGCTCCCCAGTGGCACGGCGCCACGCAAACGCACTTCCCACCAAGGCCGCACAAATCCCAATGGCACTGCGACATCACGAACGTACTGTGGCCACACGGTTTGCCCACACACTACACGCAAAAATATCACATGATACCGCCAATGATCCCTCTCACCAGCGACACGCCGCGTTTACGCCGGTATGTTTCGCGCTCCCAGTGGCACGGCGCCACGCAAACGCAATTCCCACAAAGGCCGCACCAATTTTCATGGCACTGCGACATCAGGAACGTACTTTGGCCACACGGTCCGTCCACACACTAGAAGCACACATATCACATGAGACAGCCAATGATCCCGCTCACCAGCGACAGGCCGCGTTTATGCCAGCGTGTTTCGCACTCCCCAGTGGCACGGCGCCACGCAAACAAACACACTTCCCACCAAGGCCGCGCAAATCCCAATGGCACTGCGACATCGCGAACGTACTCTGGCCACACGGTCCGCCACACACTAGAAGCAAACATATCACATGATACCCCTAGCCCTAATCATCCCGCTGACCAGCGACACGCCGCGTTTACGCCAGCATGTTTCGCGTTTTTAGTGGCACGGCGCCACGCAAACGCAATTCCCACCAAGGCCGCGCAAATCCCAACGCCGCTGTGACATCACGAACGTACCTTGGCCACACGGTCTGCCCACACACTAGAAGCAAACATATCACATGATACCGCCAATGATCCCGGCTCACCAGCGACACGCCGCGTTTACGCCAGCATGTTTCGCGCTCCCGAGTGGCACGGCGCCGCGCAAACGCACTTCCCACCAAGGCCGCGCAAATCCCAATGGCACTGCGCCATCATGAATGTACTTTGGCCACACTCACTCCCGCTCTGAAAGGCTCTTTCCCGCACTACTTTTGTACTACAAACTGGCCACTTCTGAGTCCAGCTCGAAAAACTTCTTTCCCGTACTACTTTTGTACTACAAACTGGCCACTTCTGAGTCCAGCTCCGAAAAGCTCTTTCCGGTACAACATTTGTACCAGCTCCGAAAAGCTCTCTCCCGTACTACTTTTGTACTACAAACTGGCAACTTCTGAGTCCAGCTCCGAAAAGCTCTTTCCGGTACTACATTTGCACGACAAACTGGCCACTTCTGACTCCAGCTCCGAAAAGCCCATTCCCGTACTACATTTGTACTGCAAACTGGCCACTTCTGAGTCCAGCTCCGAAAAGCTTCTTCCCGTCCTACATTTGCACTACGAACTGGCCAGGTCTGAGTCCAAAGTCTCCAAAACGACCGTTTCGTACGAGACTTCCTCCAAAAGTGAAGCGGAAAGTCCCCAAAACGAGCGTTTCGTACGAGACTTCCTCCAAAAGTGAAGCGTCAAGTCTCCAAAACGAGCGTTTCGTACGAGACTTCCTCCAAAAGTGAAGCGGCAAGTCTCTAAAACGCACTCTCGCCTGCATGTTGCGCACTCGACACGCACGATCTCCGCAGAGGGTCGCGCGCACACCGGACAAATCGCACTCTCGCCTGCATTTCGCGCCCTCGACGCGCAGAGGGTTGCGCGCACGCCGGGCAAATCGCACTCCCGCCTGCATTTCGCGCACTCGACACGCATGATCTCCGCAGAGGGTTGCGCGCGCATGGGACAAATCGCACTCTCGCCTGCTTTTCGTGCACTCGACACGCACGATCTCCGCAGAGGGGTGCGCGCCGCCTGCATTTCGCGCCCTCGACACGCATGATCTCCGCAGAGGGCTGCGCGCGCACCGGACAAATCGCACTCTCGCCTGCACTTCGCGGACTCGACACGCACGATCTCCGCAGAGGGCTTCATTTCTGGTTGACGCTGTTCGTCCCACCCTCCGCCTTTAAAGAGAACTTAGAAAGTGGGGGAATGTTTTTTTCATTAGGATACCTTCCGTGAAAGACTTCATGCTCACACTTGCGTACTTACACTTGCATGCTTACACTGGGACACTTACACTTGCACACTTGCACTTGGATGCTTTCACCTGCAAACTTGCACTTGGACACTTCAGTGCCACTGTAAGTATAGAAGTATAAGTGTTGAAGTGTTAAGTGTAGAAGTGTAAGTGTTCAAGTGACTTTCCGGAAGAACCCTTCGCAGTGCCTTCGGGAAAAAATTGGCTTGTTGGGCACTCTTGTGACAGACGTTCGAACATTTTCACGCAACACGGATCAACTTGTGGAAGGCACTCTTGGACAAAAATTTTGTGGACACTTGTGGAAAACTCTTGTGCACTCGTAGAAGACACTCTTTGTGGGACCTTGTTGGATTAAATTGTGGAACAATCTTGGAAAAAACTTTTGTGGGGAAAACGCTCTTCATTTTTGTGGGACATTCTTTGTGGAAAATTTGTGCAGGACACTCCCGCAGAAGGCACTCTCTTGTGGGGCAATCTTGTGGAAACCTTTCCCACAGAAAGAGTTTCCCACAAGAGTCAGATTTCACCCGGTGTGTTTGATATGTTTGTTCTCACTACGTTCCTTTCAGCTATGAATGTAATTCGGGTTGGTGCGTGCTGTCTGTCAGTTGTTTTTGGTGAACTTTCACTGCAAGTTTCATTGTTTGAGTGATGACGTTTGATGACATGTGGCTTGCCAAGCCTCAAACACACCATTAAACAGTTTTTTTCGTTGACACCCATACTTGCAGTCACGCTTGCAAACCAATGGCTCTTTGTAGCTCTAATTTCGTTGGCTGCGAAATCTGAATTATTTGCGATTTGGTTGCATTCAGCTTGACCTCAGGACTTGCTATCAATTTTTTTGAAGCAAGAAACAACGTTGATTGTGTCTTGGCCTCAATACTCCTTCATTAGTGGAGTTTGTGCATGCCAGGAGGGGCGATGGCAAAGCCGAAGAGCAGTCGCGTGGGCAAACCACCATGAGGGAGGTGCGCAACATGCAAAATGGTTGCTTGCAACAACAGGACATGTGAACACCCTCACAAACCTGTCAGGACCTGGAAGTATACTTTTGGAACCACAAGTTTGAACACTTGCAATCTTTGGGAGCCAAGGTCGGGAAATTGTTGATGCATTTGTCGGGAAGGATCTGGTTTGTGCAGGAAATAGACGGGATTTCTCCTCGACTGCTGGCGCCTGCAAGTGCAGTGGTGGCCAACTTAGCCAACAAACGGAACATGAAATGAAAAAACATGAACGCATGAATCACCCAAAGCGTGGTGACCTTCAGCCATCCCAGAACATTCAAGGCTTCCGGAGTCCTCCATGCCTGGGGTATGGCATTGAGAAAACACTATGGTCAAGGCGTTTTGTTTTTTCATTTCCCATGTTTGTTTTGTCAAATCATACTCTTGGGACTCTGGGATATTTCTTTGCCCTGCAGGTTCGCCAAATTGTTTGTTCGAACTGGGCTGGTGGGCAGGTTTACTCACTGATGGCCGCTTGGGATGCAAAGTTGCCAACAAGGTTCGTTGGTCTTCCAGTGTATGCATTGAACCCAGTTTTGTTGGAGGGTGTTTTGAAGAAACTTTATAAAAACACAATCTTGCCGAGCCTTGCCACAAAGCATAAAGGTCTTGGAGGGATCGTATTTGCTTCGACTGCGCCGAGCCTCGCACGCATGCACATCCTTGAGTGAAGCAGAGTGAAACAGTTGATGCTTCATGTGACAAAATTTGCTGTGTACTTGATTCATGATATGATATGGTTACTAAGGTTAATGGCAGTTGAGTGGCTTTCCTGCACAGAAATGCTTTGGAGGATACCAGGAATTCATGAGGAAGGCAAGAAGATCAAGTGGGAATGAATGCAAGACTTCCTTGTCAGGCGGAAAACATTGTTTAATGAAGTTTAATGACTATTTGGAAAGTTTTGAAAATTGGTTCCTTGATATGGAGTATCATCTGAGTATCGAAGCATCCACCCGGTAAGCATTCAGTTGATGTCATGGATTATCAGGACTCGGTGCCAGGTCTTGACGGATGGTGGACAGTTGACTTTATTTTTGTTTGGGGGGCGTAGGCCGCTAGAGTTGGTAGCTAACAAGTAGCTAAGAGAGTAGACAACATTGTGTCAGAGCTGTGTGGATTGTGATGAAAATTAAGGATTAATTTACTAATGGCTGATGGAAGGTGCTTCTCGCAGACAAATTTGTTCACCCACCTAAAGCCAGCACATGTTCTTTGCATGGAATGAAAGTTCTTCACATGGACCGATGACATATATAAATCATGTCACACTGTTCTGTGGTGAAGATGGACTTTGCGACACTGTACTGTAAATGGCTTGTTGCAAACTGGCAACCTTAAGCCTTACACAAATTGTTTGTAGGGAACTCGAAACTATTCTTTGGCGACGCAGTTTCACTGGAAATCAAGACCAAACAAGTCAAGACCTCCAGCAGTGCCCTGCGGGCAGAGGCGAGAGACAAGTTTGAGCCAAGATCGACCACGGACAGTTCCAAATTATGCGCACAAACAACATCGAAGTGACCAGAAATACTCTCCCTGGAACTAACATGGAAGTGGTAAACCACCTGTTTGTAGTGGAAAATGGTCTTCCAAGGGACCATTCTCCACTTACATGTCAGTTTTCGGGAGTGTAGGTTTCTTAAAGGCTGCGGCTCAAGATACGAAACTTGTTGGCCAGTGCTTGCGAGGAACGGCCAAACTCCTTCATATTAATTTGAGTTTGAGCATAGATTGAGCTTTTCCCTGGGGCTTCCGTTTTGAATTCCGTTTTTCCCGAAAGCATTGCGAAGGGTTCTTCCGGAAAATCTCTTGAACACTGACACTTTACACGTACACTTGAACACTGACACTTCTACACTCACACTTGAACACTTACGCATCTACACTTACACTTGAACAAACACTTACACAATGGCACAATGGCACCGAAGTATCGAAGTTTGTATCGAAGTTTGTAAGTGTGAGTATCCCAGTGTAAGTGTAAGAGTGAACGCATCCAAGTGCAAGTATGCAAGTGTAAGTATCCAAGTGCAAGTATGCAAGTGTAAGTATCCCAGTGCAAGTATGCAAGTATGAGTATCCCCGTGCAAGTATGCAAGTATGAGTATTGAAAACTTTCACGGGAGATGTCCTAATCAAAAACATTTCTCCATTCTATAAATTCTCTTTGAAGGCGGAGAATGGGACGAACAGCGTCAACCGAAAATGCAACCCTCTGCGGAGATCGTGCGTGTCGAGGGCACGAAATGCAGGCGCGAGTGCGACTTGTCCGGTGTGCGCGCAACGCTCTGCGGAGATCGTGCGTGTCGAGTGCGCGAAATGCAGGCGAGAGTGCGATTTGTCCGGTGCGCGCGCAACCCTCTGCGGAGATCGTTGCGTGTCGAGTGCGCGAAATGCAGGCGAGAGTGCGATTTGTCCGGTGTGCGCGCAACCCTCTGCGGAGATCGTGCGTGTCGAGTGCGCGAAATGCAGGCGAGAGTGCAATTTGTCTCAACCTGTCCCACGCGCGCGCAATCGGATGAGAGCTGGCGACGGCGTAGTGCAACTTTAGTGGGCGGGGGAGCTGGAAGATGAGAACTGGGGACTTGGTAGTACAACTGGAGTGCGCGGAGTATCTGGGGAGCTGGAAGAGGAGAACTGGCGACTTTGTAGCACAACTATAGTACGCGGAGCACCTCGGGAGTTGGAAGATGAGAACTAGTGACTTGGTAGTGCACCATTAGTACGCGGAGTAGCTGGGGAGCTGGAAGATGAGAGCTGGCGACGTCGTAGTACAACTGTACTAGGCGGAGTCGCGGAGTATCTGGGGAGCTGGAAGATGAGAACTGGCGATGTTGTAGTACAACTTTAATACAACTTTAATAGACGGAGTCTCTGGGGAGCTGAGAACTGGCGACTTGGTCGGACAACTGTAGAACTTGGTCGGACACTGCCTCAACTCACTCGGACACACACACACAGACAGGGACTCACACACACACAGACATAGATAGACACACAGAGACCCACACACTGCCTCAACTCACTGGACTTAACACTTCACACTGAACACTTAACACATAACTCACACTTTGACTTCATACGTGATGAAAAATGCTTTCGGGCCACTCCTCGTCTAGTTGTTTTCTCTTGGAAGGGTGAAGGCTGTGAAGGCTTGACAAGTCGGTTCAACTCCAAGGATCCTCGTGCCCTTGACCGCAGTCGCCCAGTTGTCCGCCGCTTTTATATGCGGAGTTTGCATGTTTGGAGAGAGACTTGGCGATCTTTTTCGATTTGAGCATGGCAAATGGATTACTGTAAGAAATTGATTACTGTAAGTTTTCTTTTTTATCCCTTTGCACTGTTGACAAAACTGAATAGCTTTTGAAATTTGGCCTAGCTGGACGAGGAGAAGCACAACGAAGCAGAAAGCTGGGTTTGTCCTGTCAGTGTCCTGGATTGACATGTTGAAGCTGATATCACATTATGTCTATGATAAGCAATCATTCTTACAGTATATTGCAGTTGCAAAAATCTGAGAATTTGCAAACAAGCAATTGAGCAGGTACAGTTTACCTGTCACTCCTGGAAAGGTAAGCAGTGTTGGTCTACTTGGATGTTCAAGAACCAAGAGCTATAGTCATCTTCCTGGCAGCTTTTGGCGGCTTGGTTTCAAGCTTCAGTGGAACATATTCATTGTTGGCTGTGATCAGAGGAAACTGTGGTTGCAGCCGCATGTTCTTTGGGTGCATCTATTTTGGGTTTGCACCACGGTGATGTGCTTGGTCACCAAGCTGCAGCTTATCCTGATTCTTTTTGTCATCATGTGCGAAAGCATCAATCTGGTGTCATCATCCTTAAATGACAATTCGAGGTTGGTATCAGTGAACAGACGGGTTTTGCTGTACTGTCTGCATACTTCGATGGCGGCTCAGCTCAAGTTGAATTAGTAGCACAGCAAAGTCATTCGGAGTATTTTCAGGTATGCAATTCCTATTTACGCGGACACTTGCAATGACCCTTGAGAATGCAGGTGGGCCAACCTTTCAGTTGTTTAGTTCTATGATGCTTAGAAACCTTTAGGCGTGCATGAGTCAGTTGCGAGTTTGTCACTGGGGAAGGCGCGTGACCCTCAGTGGAAAGTGTAAACTCCTCTTACACTGCAACATTGAAGCTAAAAGGATAGAGCATGGCCGGGCGTTGTCACCCCAAGTCTCAGTGGATTGAGGTTTTGTGCACTAACAGCAATATACTGGCAGCAACACTCTTTGGGGGCAGGGCTGATCAGCATTGGCAACTTGGATGCTCTTTTCTTAAGTTCAGGGCCACTTAATGTTTCTTCTTTTTTCCTTTAGGCGGAGTGCTTCCCCTTCTGCAGAACTTGACTCAAGCATCCCTTGGTGCGACTTTTTTCAGAGACGAAGTGGAGGCTCGGACTGGCTAGGACTTGATTCAAATCAGAAGGCAATTCGAAAGGCCATGAATTTTGGCCCTCAGCACCAGCTATCAAGTGCTCATGGCTTCAAGATCTATGTAGTAGTGAGCACGTTCCTTTTTGCCTCCCAGATTACCCCGGCCATTGTGAGCGCTATGATCATAGCTCCTGTGAGTGTGTGGAGCTTTACTTAGCTGCAGAGCGTTCAGATTGGTACAAGGATTTTTATTCGAGGGACAGGGAAGTTCAAACAAAGCAGAAACCATTTTGAGGCTTCTTGCCCAGACACCGGAAGTTCATCGGGCATACAGAGGGGCCTTGAGACAGGCAGGCCAGGCAGTGAAGCACCGCGAATGTCACTCACGCAATCTCCCAAGCTTACTTGTTAGAAAGCCAGGCAACATTTCTGATGACCACAGCAAGCAGGAGACAGGCGCTATGTATGCAAGTTGTGCATGTCAATGCAGATGGTTTGCCCAGAGATTCATTGCTCTTTGGACTTCAATCTTTGAAGTTAAGTTTCCCTACAAAATCTACTGTATATATATATATATATAATATAAGTACCAAATCCAAATCCTTAGTGCGAGCGCTTCCTTGAAGAAGCTTGAGCTATCCTGCTTCCATATGCAATGTAGTAGCGTCTCAGTAGCTAGGAGCGAGCAAGCTTGTCGCCTACTTAATTAAGTAGGCGCCTACTGCTAGGAGCTTACCCCCTTGCTTAATTAAGTAGGCGCCTACTTAATTAAGTAGGAGCGGGCTTAAAAAGTGGCTATCGCAGGAGAGTTATTGTTCCACACGTCATGTGAACGATAGTAGAGCCATCGCCCTATCCAGACCCAAAGGATAACCCAATATATAAGGAACATCTGGATAGATGACAACACCGGAGTGCATTTTTGCTTTCGGGTTTTGAACTGAGTTGACAGCGTTTCAGTGTACATTGGTGTTCTGTTTCCTCACCGTGTCGGTTTGTCCAAAATGAGGATTAAATACTTTTGAATGTGTTTGAAGTTACATTTTTGTTGCTTCACAAGTGGTAGGTTCAGGCCAGTCAGAACGAAGGATGATAAAAACTGGGCTTTTTGTTCAACGCTTACGGACAACTTCTTGCTTAGTTTTACATAGTCAGATGGCCCTTATGGCCACTGCTGCTGAGTCTCACTTCCTCTTTGTTTCGGGTTCCTTCGTTCCTTTTCGCAAGGTGAAGACTGAGATGGCCTTTAGCTTTCCACATGGGGTGTAGATTTGCAGCGTGCTTCAGCTACGGAAAGGCAAAAGCTCAGAGTAGAGCAGATCAAAAAGGCAAACATGGCAAGCGACTGGCTAGCTTTTTTTGGATCTTGGCTGCTCCAGTATCGTTTTAGGAGAACAACCATTTGATGCAAATCGGCATGATACAGTTTTGTTTGCAGCTGCTTGAGGCTGCGTGTTTCGCAGTACTTGGTTCGGACTCAATGCTCAATACAATTCGTGGCAAGTGAGTCGTTGACAGAAAAGAACCTGACTTGAACGACAATATACAATATGTACACTGTACACAGGGTATTTGTAGAGATGTGTTCAATGTCCACACACATATGACTGTGACTTCTTTCTTGAGCCAAGACATCTTACTACATCTACTTCCTTTTGTTTGCATGCTCCAGTTGGGCATTTCATGAAGGCCTTTTGTGGGGCTTTTACATGCAAGTTGTTTGTGTGATGAACAGAAGCAACTTAAGAAACACCTTTCCCTAAGAGGAGAAACGTGTAATTGCTGCAATCATCAAAGAGACTGCATTCTTGTTGTAAAGGCAGGAAGGAGGAAGGAGTGTCTAGAGTCTCTAGAGGTCTGGAAAGCAATGGGAATGACCAAAATTCTTGTAAGGAGTAGACATACTGGTCCCAAGGCCAACACCGAAGACCTTCAGCCCTTTTTGTCGCACACACTCGGAAGCATGTAGCAGTGAGGTGATGGGTGATCCTGCACTGCTGCAGCCCTAATGGTATCCAGGAATGGGCCTGAGAGTGACTTTCTGAGCTTATGTGGCTCCCTATATACGCAATAGAATAAACAATAGCAAGATTGTTTCTATTGACATTGTTGTTTTGTTGAGTGGTTGGCGTTTTTCATTTGTATTATTTTTACAGACTTGAGTTGTAGTCGTTGGTAATTATATAGTTCGGATTTTTATAAACTGTTGAGTCTATTTCACCCACGAGGCCATACACTTAGCAACATTAGTGCAAATTTAGCAAAGAAACATTTGGCGTATGCAGGCTGTTGGACTACGCAGAAGGTGGTCCAAATGACCCTCGTACAACCTTCAATGATCTACGAAGATGGCTTACAGCGGTAAAAGAGGACTGGCAAACAGTGGCCGTTACTTTGTCAGGAAGCTTGTTCCATGACAGGAGCTCTCGCCTTGGGGCTGGCAGGCCTATGACGCAGAGTTTCGTGAAAGAATGCAGGCACAAGCGGCACAGGAAAGGAAGAGAGGCTGATTGCCACTCTTTTAACTGTCTTACGCGTCTGATATATACATATATATATATATACAACGCTGTGGCTAAGTGTCGCTCAGTCCCCAGCCTCACAGTGAATCCCCCAAATTCAAAGAACCAAATCAATCAAGCCTGAGCTCTTCTGTGTCCTAGCCTCGGTAGCTATTAGCTGACCACTTGTTACCAGCTAGCTACTTACTTAAGCCTACTACTGCTTACCCTATCCTCCAAAAGAGCTTTCCCTTGACCAGGCGGAGAAGAAGCTTTATGCCATGAATCGGTTGCCGGATAGTGGAGCAGAGCCTCAGGACCTGTGCAATGCATCATGAGTTCTGGTCCTTGCCAGTTGTTATTGTTGTCATCGTCGTCTTATATGAAACACATGAATGTAGTGTGTGGACATAGTGTCATGCCATGCCATGTATCTCATATATCTTTATACAAGGGCACTCAGTGTACAGTATTTTTGATTGTTGCGGAGTTTGATCTATGCTGCCGGGGGTGTGAACTTAAAGGTGTGCAGGACCTGCGGGAATATACATCATCTTCGCTGCTTGTGCCCTTTTGAAGTCCTACACGTGAAGGTCCTAAACTGGAAATACCAACAAGATACTGTCTGGGAATTCAGAATTGGGAGCCCTCAGTTGGATTGAACTGATCGTGGGGATGCGGATTTCAAGACACTGCTTGCGTGATCCGCACGCTCTTTGCGTGATCCGCACGATCCAAGGGTCGCCTGGAAGGAGAAAAACATCAACGACTTAGCGCCCTGCAACATCCCAATCTCTGACTCCAACTGCTCTGCACAACAAGCTTGCATGTAGCTGCAGAGGACCACTGGCCTAGTAATGTGTGCTGGTCAAGTTGAATCATCAACGAACTGCTGGCTTGGGGCTCCACGGGCGACCCTCAAAAACTGATTGCAGCAGCAGTATTTGACTGGGCAAGGGGGTAAGGTGCAAACTATGGCATGACCTGTCCCCTGTGAGTGTCCCCATGCCCGATACCACAGTCGTTGTCAGTGGCCACTGTTGTATTGGCAAGCATTTCACAGCAACTTGCCCACCAAAAGCACACACCAACAGGCTTTCTTGCGATGCGGTTCACATAGATTTATATATGTATATATATATATACGGTGTATATATATATACACATTTACATAGAGAGAGAGATTCATACAGTGCCCCAACGACTTTTGAAGGGTAATTTGCTCCAGGCACCGGAGCAACCCCCAACCCCGCAAGCCCCACCCACTGACCAGACTCCCAACATTGCGCCACTCAGTTGTGAAACATGACGTAGCAGTTTGGCCAATCAAGGTGTGCCAAAGAGCTGAGACAACAATTGCAAGGCAGAAAGGCAGAAAGGTGTAACGGAGCAAAACAGACGGGTTGCTGGTTGGATGCCTAACTTGTCGCGAACACGTGAGACACATGGAAAGTTTCATAGTGTTCCCCACTGGAACTGGATCAGGAACTGGAACTCCACCCCCTCAAAAAAACAAAACAACGATTTGTTTCCTTTATCAGAGGAATTGGAATCGCAACTATTGTTTCTTTTATCAGAGAAATTGGAATCGCAACTCGATCTGGAACTAGAACTGGATTTGGAACTGGAAAAGGATCTAGATCTGGAACTGGAAGTGCCCCCCCCCACCCCGTAGACAGTGAACACCACTTTGGAACTGGAACTGGATCTAGGACTGCTGCCCCCACCCCTGAGACAGCTACCACCACTTTGGAACTGGATAGAACTGGATCTGGAACTGGGACTGTTCCAACCACCTGGGGTACACTCTACATAGTGCACGAGGAGCCAGTGGAGGTCCGTGCAGGTGGCCTTTCCCAGGATATCGCATCTAGAATCTAGAATTGTGTTTCTGTAGATCACCCCCTTGGGAACGTGGTAGAAGTCCATTGCAACGAACTTTTTTCATCTAGATCCGACCTGCTGGTAGCGGCTAGGGAATGATTTCACGATTCTGTCCTTTGAGGCTAGATGTGAGAGTTGTGCCAGGACGGCGTCATTCAGGGAACTCCGCTTTGGCAAGAGAGGCCATGATACGAAGCTTACACAGCATGTGCCCGCTTGGTCTAGTCATGCTTGAGAGATGCTGCCCGTGCCCAGACATTCAGCATGCAGTGCAGGTTATTTGAATATTGTGTAGCTGCTTCTTCCAACTCCCTTGAACTATGCATTTGTTGGGGGCTCCGCGGGCATGTAATGATGCGTGTTTGCACATTCGAAACGGCAGGGCCCTGCGAGTTTAGGTGCTCTTTATACCACGTGTCAGTCGAAACGCCCTTCGCAATCGGGAGCTCTCGGAAGTGCACGAAACACTGCGCCTGCCACGTATTTTACACATTTTTACACTTTGGCGTGAGACTCTCACATGCTGAGCAAGCGGGCCGTTTTCGTTTGAGAGATTGCATATAATCGTGGGACGTGCGCGAAACATTGCGCCTTGCGCCTGCCGCGCATTTTAGGCGTCCGAACAAGGGGTGTGGGCTGGGATGTTAACGTCATGTTCGCTTGCGCAAGAATAATTTGCCTACAGATGTAGTGCACGTGAAATGTGCACGATCTTTTCTGCGTTCGTGCATATGTATGGTGGGGTGCACATTTGCGCACTGTAACGCAATGCACATCTGGAACTAGACTAGAATATGTTCTGACTGAAGCTAGTGGGCTGGCTTTCTGCTTCACTAGGAAATCTGGATCGCAGCATGGAGGGCTCAACGAGCATAGAAGACGTTTCGGTCGTGTTGGTGCTTGTTTTGTTGTCGCGAATCTTGCGGTTTCTGTGCCCTCGAGGGCTTGAGGGTTTGAAGCCCTTATTCACGGTGAACCTTTGGACTTTGGACGCTTGGATCTCTGGACAGATGAGACGACGAAAGTTGCTGGGCAGAGTTGCTCCTTGTATGTCCCACTTGACTCAGCTGGCAGTTTGTTATCTGTTGAAGAATCCAGGTCTCATTGCAGTCCTCGAAGCCTTGAAGCCATAACACCTCCTGAGCCATGCGAGTTTGCAGACCCCGCTCGCAAGTTGGGTGTTTGCAATCCGAGTTTGCAGACCCCACTCGCGACGTAGCGTTTCCGCACAACAAAAAACGAGCGGATGGACCGGGATGCTCAGGCGGGTTAGAACTCCTTGCAAAAACCAATACGGAGGCACTGTGAAATCGTAATCCTAAGCAGGACAGCATGTCGTTACAGGCCTGCCGAGAGTTGTTGGGGAACATAACAACAGATTGGCTTGATGTCATTTTTGAAGCTTGAAAGGCTTGACCAAATGCTGCTGGTGGAGCACTTGAAGAGAAAGGCTTCTTGGAAAAACATTTTCAATTGGTGGACAGACAGAGGCTGAGTAAGCATAGCAGCTGGAAAGTCCGAGTCCTGCGCAGAGGTGATGGTTGCGCACACAGCGTTCACTGAAGCAACCGACCTGTTGCTGAAGTCGCATGCCTGGCTGGTAAAGGACCTTTGCTGACACAAAATATGAGGTGATTTTGCAAAAGACCCTTAGAACGCAAGTGAAATTTCTTTTGAAGGACTCCTTGCTGGCAGACAAGTTTGCAGAATGCACCTTGCACAAGAAATGTTCTTATGTAAACTAACGCACTTATGTATTCCACATGCAGAGTACATTTTGCTTGTGCACTTCTTCAAACTTACAACTTTTGGATTATTGCTTACATTTTGGGGTACCTGCAGATACCCTGTGCTGGTGACCTGCGGTTGCACCGGCGCACTGGCCTTGCAGTCCAGGCATTTCCCGGGTGCCTCCCAGTCAGCATGACAGGATCGACCTTTTGCAAGCGGCTCGCTGCCCCAGGGAGTTTCTTTTTAATCGCGTCACATGAAACAGTTGACGATTTGATTTTATAGCACACGTGTTGTCATAACTTCACAACGGTTGAACATGAAGGATCCCTGCCAGCTCACAGGTTTGGTCTAGCTAGCTCACCTGGATGAAGTCACCAAAAGTCTCCAATGGATTGTGAAGTCGTCCTGCTGAACTTGGCTCAACGGCCCTACCAAACAACTGTAAGTGGTTGCGCCAGCGATTGAAGAGTTTCACGTACAAAGATTTGTTGAGTTCTTGAGCGGCGAAAAACATATGCTTTACACTACGACAGTCTGTGACATGAAATGAAGAGATTGTATAAGTCCTCTATGCATTGCATGCCGAGCAGGCAAAAAACAAGCAAATATATCATCAGACTGTTTTGCAGCAAGCAGGAAGGTATATAGCTGTTATATAATGTCATGCATGTCTTGCACGCCATGCCTCGTTGCAATGACTCCGCATTTGTGGCAACACTCCCAGGCAAGTCAGTAGGAACAGTGAGAGGTACTAGTCGCAACTCAGGCCGCAGACAAAAGTTGGTCGAGCTTCATAACTATTAAGCAAGAAGCCACTTGTAAGCTTTCAACCCCAGCAATTAACTGTATAAAAGTTGAATCTCAATGGTTTTGCCTGAAGCTTCAAAAGACTATACGACCATCGCAACAGTTCCAGTGAGCTGAATATAGAGACAGAGAAGTAGCTGAAGTAGCTTTGGCAGCTTTATTTGATTTCTCTTTCATCTTCATTGCAGCGGTGCAAACCTCCAAAGATACTTGCGTCGATTTGCTTGGAAGTGAGTCGAAATAAGCCAATTATATAGCATAATTGCTTGCTTTCACTGGATGTCCAAAGAGCTTTGGCTGCCCAGGGCGCCTACATGGACGATGTGCTTTAGTGGAGGTAGCTTCGATTACAAAGGACACAGCATGTGCTTTGTGCCGTAATTGTTTGGGGTCTTCTGAAAACTTTATGCTTGCGCAGGTTGCAGTGTAGATTTTTGTTTGAGCATCTTGCATTTCAAGAACTTTGTATGATAGAAAGTGATCGCACATATGCACTTCATACAGAGCTGCAGGAGCAGGCCGATGCTGAAGAGCCGCAAGACGCGGTTCTTGCATCTCTGAAGTCCATGGATCGTAGGCGAACTTGTGCTGAAAGTAAGGGACCAACTTGATTTTGTAATTTAAGACTCAAGACGCATGTTAGACACAGGCTGTGTAGAGCAGGTCTGAACTAGACCGAGCAGCTTTGGCACGAGTGACTTGGGCTGCATCATTTGCTTTATCCGAAGTGTGCTTAGCATCAGAGTAAATGGAGGGGCAGGCGCAGGGTTTTCCAGCAAGTCAAAGTGCTCTTGAAATCACCTTGCAGTTGGAGATCAGGATATCTACAAGGAAAGAAAGGCATACTATGACAAAGGCAGGGGCTCCGAGCTGCCAGCGGAGGAGCGGGTGCCAACGCCTGCGGAGGCAAGATGTCGACAGTACAGAGAAGAGTCTCGTTGAACTGAAGCCAAGCATCAAGTTTTCAATAGGCATGGGCAATATGCCGCTGCTGTAGGTAATCCCTGGTGCCTGAAGGTTTGTTTGTACCCCCGCTTCTTTCCCGACACTCATTGCTGAAGCTTGCGAAGCGGAGCCCTCTCGAATACAATGCACAAGTATGATGAGATGCATGATTGTGGTTCAATGGATTGCAGTACATTTTCTTAAGTTTGTTGTCACTTGCTATTGAGATTGTTTCTTAAAACCCCTTATGGGCTGGTGTGCTTGTCAGATTGCTCATCAGCTGATGCAGCCCTGCGGCAGCACTCGGAAGCATCGTGAAACCTTGCATAGCAAAAACATGGGGTCAAAGGTTGGAATATGTAAAGAACACTCTCAATGATGAACCAAGCTTTCGGCAATCGGCAATTGCATTCATAAGTGTTCCTTAATTTTCCTTGGTTTCTACCCAGCCTTTCTTTCATTCTTTCATCGCCGTTTGATCAATTGGTCAGCTTGGCACGACTCTTGAACTTACTTCCCTCATTGAATCATTGGCGCATGTCTTAAGACAATTTCCTGGTCATGGCACAGTGTGAAATTAGGTCAGGGGACTATGGCAACGGGCCGCCCTATCCAATACAGGGTCTGCTACCAAGTTGTGCAGTGCATACAATCTGAGATACTGGCTATTTGCTTTCTGGTAAAGCCAGATGGACCATTGCAACCATGGGAGTTCAAGATTATGTTTTGCATTGATTGAACTGTAGCAGTAGAAGTTCAAGAGCCAAAGGTCAGCAAGTTGTTCCCTTTGAGGTTTCCCAACTGATGAATGACCAAGGTGTTCCTCCACCACCTTGGAAACGACAGGGGCTGGAGGGAACAGACAATGTCACAGTCCAAACGGACCATACAGTGCCTTGTTGTTGACGAGCGAATACGGCCCATCTGACAGCTGAGTCTTCAAGTCAACGCAGAATGGGGTCATGGCAAAGGTGCTGCATTTTGGTATGAGAGAGCAAGCATGGTGCTTCATTTCCAAACTTCAGGTACTTGGCAAAGGCAGCTTGCTTGAAGTTGAGATATCAAGGTCAAGGTTCAGAACACTTGCACAGGCTATTTTTTTTGGTTGTTGATTCGATGAATTGCAGTGCATCAGTTTTTTTTTCCTTTTCCCTTCCGCGAGCTGAAGCCCAAATCTCTTCCATATGCTTGGGTGGTCTTGAGTTCCATACTCACAGAGTTTTGCCATGTGCTTCGCACTTTGGCTGAGGCCAGAGTATCGATGTGATAAGATGCTTTGATGGAAAAGGAATCGAGAGGCAATGTGGACCACTCTACCGAAAGGACTGAGCTTCTATTGTTTCCGGTGCAGAGCAGACATGTTCTATCATGTTTTTCTTGCTTCTGGACAGGATGTGAATGCCGAGAAGGATGAGGATGAGAACTTGTTTTCGGGCTTGTTGGGATATGTCCAGACCCTAGTATTTCAGAACACTGCAGGATATTTTCTCGTTGGCTTAGCAAACTATCAATGCATGAAACCTCTGGTAGTGTACTCGAAGGTATTGTCTTTAATTGCACAATTATCTCCTTGAATGGTGAACGCCGTGAACGCCCAGGGTGGACTATTGACTACTGGTACAGCGGGCTGTGTGCTCCAGACTGCTGCTGCCTTCTTGGGCAAGCAGGGGTCTTAGTTGCCTGAGAGGGCTTCGGTGGCCCATGCAATGACCCCAAGGCAGCACACCAGCACCTTGGAAGTGTTCCAAAGTTTCAGGAATTTCACTTCGTCATTAAGAACGTTTCAAGTGTTCCTGTCGAATTGGTGTGGGGCCAAGTAGGCCAAGTACCTACTGTAAGTGTATGTAAAGACAACACAGTGAGAGCTGAGAGCCGAGTGCTGAGCCACCAAGCAGGCCTGTAACTCACGGGTTGACACTCCTGTCACCTGCCATTGGTTTTTTCGTTTCGCAGGACAGCTGCATGTAAGCCAACAGGGCCAAGCGTCGGGAGTCCGAGACTGATTAGAGACAAACTGTACATAAAGAGCTTTTTTGGTACATGTACTGTAAATGTACAAAGAGGGCATAGTGAGTACATGGTGACCCAGGCAACATTTGCAAGGAGGCGACCGGAAGCGTTTCTGTGGCCTGGATAGAATAGAACATTCTCGCCTTTGCTTTCAGCTGACTGCTTTGTTGTTTGAGCCTGAGCTTTGTTTGTCATTGTGTGCTCCAGGTGAGGGATGATCTCCTACGTGGAAAAAAGATTTGTTGCTTTTCACTGATTCAAATTCCCGACCTGCAGTTGTCTGACCTGTCTTTGCCATGCTGAGTTTCAACGCATGAGGCACTTAAGCAGTCGCGAGAAGAGACAAAGGCTGCAAAAGAAGAGTTCCACGAATACAAGGCATGTCGCTATACTGCTGCTAGCTTCTCAGTATCACTTTTGGTTTCGCTTAGCTTTGCATTTGTTCGCACCGTTCTTGCTCAATTACTTTGCAGGTGCAGCAGCAGATCCACCGTCAGGACGAGCTTCTTGTGTCTACTTGAAATGCTCTTTGTACCATGAAATGGGTTGTACTCTTGGCTTGCTCAAAACGAGTGGGCCGCACGGTACATGGACTTTTATGATAACCAAATCATGGAATGGACACTGAGATTGGCATATTGTCATTTCTATATGCTCCAACACTTCGACAATTGTTGGCTTGTGCAGCTGGCTTGGAGCAACCTCCGAGAACCGCATGAAAGGATGTTAAAGGCCACAAAAGGCCATGACCGCACGACGCTTGACACTTGATTCACTTGATAATCATGACTGCGTGAGAGCCAGCTGAGCTGTTCGGAACATTGACAAGCACGTGGAATAAAGAAATCTACATTTCTTACTTTGATGGCGCGATTTTCCGATGAAGCTGTGTCCTCATACGTGGACAACTTGCTGAAGAGAGTGTCTTGTTGGCATTTTGAGCTTTTGCTGTGTGTTTTTCCAACATGTTCAAAACGGAAGCCTTGTGCTTGTCGCAGAAACCCTGCAGGTTATAACTGGACGACCTGCTGCTGAAGTGTGTTCACGCCAGTTCGTCAAGAGAGTTGTGGGGAAGGTCGGGTCTGCTTTGTTAGGTGAGGCGACTTCCAATCCCACTGGGTTTCTGTTTGTGTTTCAGATCGTAGCTTGCACATGGGATTGCCTTCTGGGCAGGTGCTGGCCAGAACGGTGGAAGGCTGCCACTTTTGATGTCAACAAACGTGAAAGAAGCTGATTGAAAGAAAGTTGATGGCAACAAAGTTGATGGAACTCCTTTGTGCAATGAACTTTTTTCTGCCACTTTCTGCAACCTGTGAAGTTTGGGAGGTGCCCAAGATGTTACTATGTCCCCGGTTCAAGCGAAGCAGGATGCGACTCAGGCCGCAGAGGAATCTGTTTTTCAAAAAAGCAAGTTTTTCAACCATCATGAAACACTCCATTTTGTTTATTATATAGATGCCATTCTGATCTCGACTTGCTTCAGACCCAACTAGCGGCATTGGTTGTCAAGGCTGAGCAGGAGAGAGACACCAGCGAGGTAAAGTCTTCAGGACAGCAAGTGTTGGCCTGTTCATTCGTTATTCAATTCTTTTCTATGCTGCCTCTTTGCCAGCAATGAATGATGAATGATGGGTAGGCGGAAGAGATGTGGCAGCTGGATGTGCTCGTGTGGCAGTGGCACGCTGGCTGGAGAAGGCAGACCACGCATGACTTCTGCGCATGAACATATCATTGCATGCTTTGCGTGCTGTGTTGCAGCGAGATTTTCAAGACTATATTGAAAACACATGGAGTGCATCACCAGGCCAAGGCCAACCGAGATCAAGGCAACTTGAGGGTGTTCTTTTGTGTGCAACTGAATCTTTTTGAGGGCGTGATAGCGCGATTAAAAGGCTAGAGTCTAGATGCCTTGAGGCTCGGAGCGAGAACAAGCAGCATCTGCAGCGAAGATTGCTGTGGGGCTCTGGCTGTCCAAGGCTGGACCATTGAATTGGTATACACACTGAATGCGAAAGATGCATGTCCAAGGCATCTGAAGCAGCCTCCAGAGCAGGCAAGCAAAAGCGGGTTGAACATTCGATATGATGAAGAGCAAAGCTAGTTATCTCTAGTTACTGCTACGTAGGAAGCGTTTGACACGATGTTTTAGGTAGGGTACATTGCGAGATCGTAAGTTAATCCAGCTTTGCAGGCTATAAAGTGCAGCATTAAGGCTGCTCACTGCATCATGCTTGGCAGGTGAGCGTAAGGTTGCTGCAGTTTGTGCCCGCATTGCAGTGGCCCGCTTCATGGATAAGGCGGCAAACAGCCAAGTCATGGAATCAAGCTGGGATAGAGACTGATAAAGATGGCAAAGACTCAAAGTCAAACTCATGGTCTTGTGCCGTTCTTTCACATTCTATGCTCTTACAGTCAAGATGTGAGATGTGAGGCCAAAGCTTGGGTAGATCAAGGCCAGAATTGTCATGACTCAGTAAGGACAATTGAAGGGAGGCGCCATGATTGCAAGGTCAGAAGGAGCGGGACTTCCCAGAGGCAGTCAAGCGCAACGAAAGCAAGGCACCACGTGATTGTAGAAAGCAAGGCATTGAGGAATCAAATTTTAACTTGTGGGGGGGCTGCCGGGGTTTGCCTGTGCATGTGTTGGGAAAACCAACTGCACCAGGCCTTTGAGCGCAGTGTGGAAGAAGGCAGCCCTCGCTGTTTTGATGCATTCCGCATTGTATATATAAAAATTGTGAAAAGGCTTTGAAAGCTGTTTCTGCAAAATGACTTAAGGCGACGCGCGCCAGATTGCAGCGCTTTGTGCTCGCCATGCGGTGAAGCTGTACCTGGACAAAGCCACAGATGCAATCCAGCAAGGCTGAAACTTTTGCATGAACTTGTGAAGAGAACCCACTATCCGATTTGTGATTGCATTGGATCATTAGATTCTTTGTTTGGACATTGTTGTTTGGACAACAGCAGAGCAGAACTTCTGCAGGCAGTGCTCGAACAGCAGTTGAGCAGGCCCTGCGACGGCAGTGGAGTTGGATTGGGGTATTTGATGGAGTTTCAAGTCTTACAGTCGCAACAATTGGATTAGTCCTCACTAGATCATGGCCATATGATGCCAATATGGCTTGACAATGGTCTTTTCATCCTTTTCTGACAGGTGCACTCTGCTGTCCTTACAGCTGCCAGCAGAATTGTTGCTCAGCAAAACTATCACTTTTGTTCTTGAAGTGTTTGGAGAACCAAGAGTCACTTTTAACTGAGCCATGAAATGAAAAGATTGAGATTTAGGTTGTCAAACAGTTTCAACACTCTCTATCATTTCTTTCTTAACCGCATTTCGGCAAGACAGTGGATGTTGAAGTGGTTTCTAAAGGGCTAACATCTAAATCTACATTGAGGCCGCACATTCAATCCCAACTACCTTTGTCTACCCTGTTCTCTACTCTGTTTTTCAGGCTGCGGTGTCTCAGCCAACCATCCAGAGCTTGGAAGGCTTGCGAGACTTGCAGACTACACTTTATATAACTGCAACTTGAACCTTTGCAAGGGGACCTTTTGGATGCTTTTGTTATCACTTTGCATGTCGGATTTTACTCGATGCAGATGACTATCCTGAGCAGAGCTCCAATAGTTTAAGTGCCGTGCTTCACGAAACCTGTGGGCAGACCTTGTTTGATGCAAAAGGTCATGTACATCATTGGTTTATTAAACCTTCTGATGCTCCATGCCTGCTGCCTCCTGCCTTATGCAGATCTACTCCTGCTGCTTCGTGTGCTCACTTCACCGTAGAGGTTTTTGTGGAAAGTATGGTGTCACAAATCATTGCATTCATCCTCCTTGTATCTCTACTGTGGAGAGAGTTGCACATCAACTTGCCTCCAAAACGAGTTTGACAACCTCCAAAGATTCCAAATCAAGAGCGTTAAGCGTTGGTCTAAATTCACCAAGCCCTAAAAACTATTGAACAGCATACCGGAATAGCCTCAACATTACTCCACCACAAATTTCTGATGCTCTTGATGCACCTAAGATGTCTTGCACCACTGGCATTTCAAACACAAATCCTGCAAGTTCCATCCTGCAAGAGCCCTGCTGGGAATTCCTTTCTGACTACGTTGCAAGCTACTTTTTCGCCGCTTGTTTTTCAAACCTTTTTCGGCTGCACCGTCATTCAATCTCATGCAAGAAGGAAGCCCCACTGATTCAGAGGTACTTGCTTGGCACTGGTGCTCCAGCACGACTTGCTCTTGTGATTGGTTTTTGAACTTCCACGGTTAGAATACACAGCCACAAATTAAATGCTTGTCCTTCATTGACTTTTCTAAACATTTTGCATCCCTTGTTTTTGCGTCCAGGATTATGTTGCATATTTCCTTTGCAATGCAGGTAATGCAAGCAATTCCCTAATGCAGCATGTGCACCTCTTAAGCCTTTGCCTAATCAAATTGACTATCAATGTCACAATGTGCTCCTTCCAGCACTTCCCGAGTGCAGGTCACTTTAGCTTCTTCTCCCAAGCAGCATAGCTTTCTCCCTCCAAGAAGTATTTCAGTATTTCATATTTCAATGCTTGGAGTTTGAACCAGTGCCAGGCTTGATCTCGGAAGAAGATATGCTGGATAACTCGGTATCTCCGCGTCTTGCGAGCATTTTAATGGTGCAAGATTGAAAGTGCATAGTTTGCCAAGTTTCACTGGAAGCCAAGGACTGGTGCCAAGAGTCCAATGAAGCCATCTGGAACTGCTCCAAAAAAGAAGCGGCCGACGCCGAAGGCACTAGAGTTTCCTGATGAGCTGCAAGTCCTTTTATCCAAACAAAGGATTGAAAACGACATTTGTAGCATTTGTGCTTAGCTCTTCAGGCCTCTCTAGTGCTACATGAACTCTTCAAGCAAGAGACAGACATGTGTTTGGGCAGATCCCTTTTGTTTTGGGAGAAAAGATGCCGTCTAGGCCTCTTGGACTGCACCGCCTTCACCAGAGCAATTCGAAGCTGATCTTCGCCAAGCCGAAACTTCGTGTATTCTTTCGCCAGTGAAGGGATTCAATTCCAAGCCCAAAGTGCGAAGCTCTGGTGCGTCAGATCCTGATGAGGAGCAGCTCAGAGTGAGGTTTGGAAAGCTGCTACTCATTGCAAATGAGTCTCAGAACCCATTGTGAGCAACTATTTCATGCAGGAGCGCAAGCGTGATGTGGAACTCTTGCAGAAGAGGCTGGTTGAATATTCGTTGCGCAGCTACTTGAAAGTTAGCATTCATGCATTTTCTCCAAGCTTATCCCGCATTGAATAGCAGTGCAGGCATCATGAGAACCTCCAGCGTGTGAGACAAGTGCAAGAGGAGCTGCGCAGCGAGCACAACCTGAGCTACTTGAAACATTTGGCTTGGTGCTTAAGTACAGCTTGGTAGAGGCAGTTGTAAGTGCAAGCATTGTTGATTTGCTCGAAGGTCAGCACAAATCTGCCAGGACATTGAGCGTGCGCGTCCAGCTAGGGAGGTTAT